CATTATAGTTCTTCTGCAAAATGGTGCTGCAAGTAATAAAAAAAAGAAGTCCATCTAAAAATATTGCTTTCTGCCATTGAAGTGGTAATTTTGCGATTCAATGTGTAGATTGAATAGATACTTTCATTAAGCAATAATTTTACTTACTTAATTTTAGAAGTATTTTAAGTGTAATCGAACAGGTGTCAGAAGTTATTTCAGCGGCAATTTAAGCTAACATTTTACGATATTTTCACCTTTTTTATTGCCATTCTGTCAAAGATATTTTAAGGATTTTTCCCTTTTCCTTGCGTATTTATAAGTTATTTGTATGCTGGAGGAAAAATACCTGTGTTTACACTTTAGTAGTAAAATTTTACTAATCATGTTGTTGTTATGTGTATTGCACGCACTTCCTGAAATAAGTTTTGTGCGAGTATTGCCTATAAAAATGTTGTAAAATTTTTAATAAGAAAAATTTAGTAAACATAATTTTTTATCCTTATACCTTGACAGTGGGACAAAAGTGAATGTATAGTATTTAAAAGTGTCTTTTTTAAATAATGAAAAAAAATATAAAAAATATAATACGAGCACATGTACTTCTTACATTTACTACTTTATTGTGTAATTGTAAAAAGTATTTGCTCAAAGTACTATTTGTGGAGCGTTATATCCAAACAGCCACGTGATAACTAATGTAATAGAAAATATGGATGTGGCAGTATGTGGTTTTAAAACAATGATTTTAATACAATGCCTTCCATTACACAATACATCTTGCCTTGACTTTGTTACACAAGAAATTTATCCTGACGTTTTTCAGATGTAAGTATGTTACCAAGATTATGCGATTATTCACCACTAGACGTTTTTACAAGACTACTGACGCAAATTACTTCAAAAGGATGCAGTACTATAAGATTTTCTGTAGATCACATGTTGGTGTTGTATTTATTAATAAATGGCAAGATATATAAATATAATTATAACTTATTCATATGTGACATTTAATTACATTTACTTCTGCTACTACAAAATGAATAATCCTGTAATATGTTTTTATGTTATTGTTTCTGTTGTGAGATTTATTTACTTTTAAAATCATAAAATAAAATAATAATAAAATATAATAATAAATAATAATGAAATTAAAAACAACGCTATTGATTTATAGATTTAAATACCTTTCGTCCGCTATTGAAGTTCCAGAAGTTCCATTCCAGATATTAACTAGTTTTTAAAATTGATGAATAACGCACACACTTCATTTATTGATCACCTTCATTATCTGCCTTTTATTTTTATCTGGTATCCTTGGGGATCTATCAGTTCAAAATAGATAATGTGTGCCTTCATTTATTGCCTTTAAGAACTGTGATTTAAGAACTGTAGTCTATTATCAGTAATAATATCAACTTCACCTATTAACAAGGCAATTGCTATGAAATAAAAATATTATTATTTTCGGTTTAGTATCAACATATTTGCAATGCAATTAAATATTTTTAAAATAAAAGTCTTACTTTATTATGCAGTTAATTTTTTAATATACTTTTTAAACCTGATTCATGGGAAATTATATAAAATTCTAAGTGTAACAATGACATATTTCATTAATTAAATCATTTAGAGTTTGATTAATTATCCTCAATAAATGGATAATTAGCGTTAATGAGTACTTGATTCTAAGACAATCTAAAAAACCGAAAAATACATAAAACCAAGGATATAAAATTTTATGTATGGTGTTGCTATTGGTTTGTTGGTGTTAATTCAATTAGAAAATTTATTCGTTTCATGGCAATTAAACAATTTCGTTGGGTTAACATTGACACTTATGTGCGCACTTCACTGAGTAATTAGTCAAATCCTTTGACTTGGACAATAATTCGATGGCGCCACCTTAAATTACTGCATGACATTTTATATATTCAATTTGAATAGAGAGAAACTATGAAATATATAATTAATTTCATTATATTTTTAATACAAAATATATGCGTTATTATTCTTTAGAATAATTAAATCATTCTTTCCCTATAATAAAAGTTACAAAGATATAATTAACTTAAAAGCTTCAAGAAGTGATTGCAGTATTTCAGAATTATCTAAAAAAGCCAATCATATTTTCAGTAAACACATATGCATGAGGTTAAATAAGAAAATTATTATTTACTACTACAAATGGAAATAATAAATTATAAATAATTTGGAAAAATATAAAATTATTTAAAAAAAGTATATTAAAGTTCACAAGTCCAACGACAAAACAAAACTATTTCCTAACTTCCTAAAACAAAAGCTCATCTAAAGAATCTATAATAAAAAATATTGATATGGCGTCTGTTCCTGCAGTGCCAAATAAGATATTTTCTCTACGGCAGCAGAAAGTTCACTTCGCAATGCTGAGTAGGTCAATGAAATCAATAAAATTTAATCAGATGTGAAACATTCACAAGGAAATTGATATTAAGAATGCTTGCGTGAGTATTCAAAGCAAAGTCAAATTATAATAAAACTTTCGAAATTGTAGTTATTTTTAACCATAAAAAAATACAACTTTGAGCAAAACTTTTATTTCAGAAATATATCCAAAAACTTTCTTTTGGTTCATTTATTCCTCTATGTGAAAAGAGTAGATACAAATATACGATTTAGTTAAGTTATCTAAATCAGCTGCTCCAATATTCATAAGCATCGTAGGAAAAGGAAGAAAATACATATTCATAACATATGCCAAAGTTGAGGTTCTCAACTTACTAAAAATAAGTACTCTCTGAAATAGTATAAAAATTATATACAGTCTAGTCAACTGAAGTAAACTTTCTCGCAAAAATGGGTTTGTCAGACTGTTTAAAAAATTTCGACAATTATTACAAAAACCCTAAGCTCAATTGTGCCCAAAACCCACTTAAGCTCAAGTGTTAACCTGTTGTAGTACCACAGTATTAGCGTTTATATATGTGCAGACTAGAGGTCAGCGTTCGAGCAACGTAGAATCCGCGACGACAAACGTCAGATAAATTATATAAATTTAATAAGATGGAGCTACAGTAAATTCTTTTGAGTTAATATTCTATTGACTATAGGTCGGCCATAATTCGAAAAACGGTTGTCATAACATTTCAAAGCGACCAGAGCTTGATGATTGTCCACATAAAATGATTGTTTGCATAAACTCCCAAAAAGCAAACCAGTGGTGGAAAACATTGAATTACAGTTTAGGCTTAATTTTTGAAGTAACTTCACTGTCTCAGATACCACAAGTGAAAAATATGTTTGTTTTCACTCCCACTGACACCAGCACAAAACAATCCTCAATTCGATGCAAAATGTTCCTACAATAGAATCACCTTTAGAGGCTATTAAGCGATTGCCAACGAACTAAACATGTGATAACCTAAATGACAGATTTTTACTGCATATGTCATTGAAACTTGTCTTCTAAATCCAGGCCAGGAAATGTGTTATCCTTTATTACTGAAAGTTGCATCTGTCTTAATAAAATTAGAGTTAACTTCCTTCTTATTTTTACTTAATTTTTGGCTCAATACAAAATGTATTGAAAATATATATTTTCTTATTTTGGACTTGTACAAAAAGGAAATATTAAGAAAATCAAGAAATATTTGAAGTAAAATCTAACAGTCACTGCAAGAAATGAAAATCGTCCAATGAACTTTCACAGCATGAGACCAAATGCTTTTTCATTCAAGCAGTGAGGAAATTTAAATTTTGAGCAGTATTTTTGGTAAGATGCCAAGGAAAATACTTTCGGTAAATTTTAACGAAAATAAAATCCTGCTGTTAACATTTTTGTTATGCTGTAATTGTGGTATTAACATTCTTCCTTATTGGATATTCACTTAAACTGTTTTTTAACCTTTCACTGCCAACATCTCCGGATCGACGGTGTAAGTTGTGGACAATTTACTGGCAATTACCTGTGTTTTCATCGGAAATTGTTAAAAAGAGTGTTTACGCATATTTGCTTTGAATGCCAAATGAAAAATATAAATAAAAAGGTTCAAACAGAATTGAATCACAAAAATAAATTTTATTCTTAATTAATAGATATTTCTAACATAAATAACGTTTCAGATCTTTTGATTTTTATTATGAGTCTTTCAAAGCATTTGATTTTATTAATCCGTTTTTAATTTTTTAACTATAGCTGCTAGAGAGATAAAAATTACAGATTTTTTTGCCTAAATAGATCTGCAGTGCTAAAGGTAGGGCTGAATGCCGTGACACCCGCAGTCTTAATTAGGTGAAAAGTAACTCTTTCATTCAACTTATTAGTTCAAGCCCTGCGATTGCCAGTACACAGGTTTAGTGTTAAAATCGAGTTTGGATTGAATCAAATAAGGTATAGATTCGCTAACTATTCTCCCTGACGAGAATTTAGTTTTAGGGAAGACTTCTCCACAGAATTGTAACTGGTGCGAACGACTCAGATGATACAGTCAGCCCAGAGCAGAAGAGAATCAAGGGGTTTGATGACTTTTGACATCGCCAAGGCATTTGACAAGGTCTAGCACGACGGCCTGATAGCCCGACTGGAATACCAAAATCTCTCATTTTGGTATTCCAGTCGGACTAACTAAAATCCTTGACAGCTTCCTGCGCGAAAGATTATTTTATGTAAGAATTAAAAGTATCATCTCGTCAGTGCGAAGAATAGAAGCCGGTGCTCCTCAAGGTGCTCCGCTCTCCTCTTTGTTGTACAACATCTGCATGTCTAACATCCCAATGCCGTCCCTCGGTGCTATCATTATACGCAGATGACACGTGCGTGTTATATTCCGATAAATTTGCCAAAAATGTAATCAACAAACAGGCAACGTCCACCTAAAGTGGGAGTCGGGAGACATAGCGATTAATTGGGAGGTGTATTAAATACCTAGGA